TTCTCCCATGCTCCACCTCTGGTATAAAAGTCCTAACTAAACTTTAAAATAACAAAAACTTCTCTCCCCAGTCTGAGCAAGCTCTGCACACAGGGCAAAAATACCCAGATGATGACATTTGACTCCAGTTCATACATCCCACCGCTGCCACCATGTCATGATCCTGTCTTTCCCCCAGACCAATCCAGGACTGTGAAAGGAAAGGATCATGGACTGAGACAAAGTATTTTACACAAAAACCCAAGAGAGGTAGTCTCTCTATGGATTTACAGACACGTGCCACCAGAACCTTCCACTATGATCCCCTTCCAGTCCAAGAGGAGGCTCAGACTCTTGACTGGCTTTTGGGACTTATCACAAGAATATTCTTAGCAAGGTAGCAACAGTTGGCAAAGCAGTTCAAGCACAGGATTTAAGGCTTGGAGTCAAAGGTACATCCATCAGACACAGTATTAAAACAGAATAAAGTTTATTAGCAGAAACTTGTAATCAGACCATAGGAGATTAGAAAAATAAGAAAGGCTATGCAAGTTTGTTGCCTAACTATACAATAGGGTATATTTACCAACAAGAAGAAGGGTCAATAGTCCAAGGCGGTCCATTTTAACAAAGTCCACTTAAGTTTCATCTTTGTGCCAGTATGCAGCCATGTGTTGAGCTGCAACCCAGGATCCTTTGTCTGCCAGCCACATGGCAGAAACAAAGCATGTCAGAATAAGTCCACAGACAGTAGATAGCAAGAACAGATTAGCAAGCAGAAAATCTGAGCTCGTGTCTTTGGGTTCAGACTAATAAGGGCCAATTTCAGGATTCAAATGACCCGGGCCAGGAGCCAATGAACACGATCTGAAATTGTCCAAGTGTCTTGAGTGGTCAGTAGTATTGAAGCCACACCTGCAGAATGTGATCCCAAGCTCTAACCACTCCCTCTAACCACTCCTCCATGTGGTACGTGACTCCTGGCAGCTAGGCTCCAGTAGGTCTGCCAGAAGTGTGAAACATGTGTGTTTATATGACAGGGCAATTGAGCAAATGGTCAGGCATAGGAAGCTAGAACACCAGGGGGTGAGGCAATTACATTCCAAGAGGGGAAACATGGAACCTTATAGCATCAACAGAGATACAGAAGGTTAAAAGAATTACACAAGGGATACATGAAAGCTATAGGAATCAATATTTCTAAATATTTCTATACAGCTAGCGATTTGGCTACTGCATAAATTAGTTTGCTCTGGAGCCATCCTTCCTGAGCTAAGACAAAAATGTGTGAGCTGGAGGCTAAAAAACTGTGAGCTAGCTCACACTAACTCAGCTTAGAGGGAACACTGATTGTGGGAAAGATATTCACCCTTGCAGGAGCTCAGTTGCCCGGTCTCAGAACCACCATTTAATTTCCAAGTCTAGACTGGAGAATCCCCTTCGGTGGGATTTTACATCTCTTGAAGAGGCTACAACTTTGGTACATTAACTCGGGGGTGGGACTGGGTGACCGCATGGGGTACCTTGAAGGCCAGTCTCCAATCTCTCATCTCTGGAGAGGCAGCGCGTTAACCCAAGATGGCATTGCCCTTCCCACAGAGGCCCCAATGACGAGGGTGTCGCGCAAGAAGCGCTACGATGGAGAGGAGACCCTCTTCTGCCAGCTCTACGGCTTCTATCCCAAGGAGATCGAGGTCACCTGGACGAAGGACGAGGAGGACCGGAAGCCGGAGACCATGTCGGGGGGGGGCGTCCCCAACTCGGACGGGACCACACCTGGCTCAGCATCGATGTTGACCCCAAGGAGAAGGACCGCTACCGGTGCCGGGTGGGACACGACAGCCTCCCGGAGCCCCTGGACTTGGCCTGGGAGGAGCCGGGTGAGAGACTGCGGGAGTGAGAGAGGGGGGTCCCCTTGGGGGTGGGGGTGGGGGGCTGGCAGAGTGTGGGAGGCAAACGTTTGCTCAGGAAGGAAGGAGGTACTCCCGGAAAAGACGCCCTCCAGCTTAGCAGGCTTGCTCGGGGGGGGGGTCCTGACCAGATGCTGGCGCCCTTGTGATAAATGGGCAGGGGGCAGAGTGTCCAGGTGGGCTGTGGCAGAGGGATGGGGGGGCAGGAACTCGGTGTGTGTGTGTGTGGGGGGGGTGTCATCGCACGCAGGGTGTCCTCAGTGCAATTCCCGCCACCCCCAGCGACCCGAGACGCTTTGGCTGGGAGATCCCACCCTGAGGCCTTGGAGAGCTCCTGCCAGGCTGAATATCGATGACTTTTTGTCCCTTCCCTTCATCCTCAGCACCCAACTTGGACCTCATTCCGGGCATTGTTAGTGGGGTTCTTCTGGCTGTTGCCGTCCTGGCTCTTGCCATCCCGGGGGTGGTCTTTGCCTTCCGCAGTAAGTAAACAGGGAATGCCTTGGCTGAGCAGGGTCCATGTATGTGTGTGTGAGGTTCTTGTGGCGGATCCCCCCTGAGGGTCACGGGGGTGGCACAGGGCCCCTGGCAGAGGCAGACGTTGCTCCTGTATCCGATGGTGCCCACAACCCCTCCCCACAACCCCTCCCCACATGATTGGCATTTTGAACAGGGACTGGCCAGTCCTTATTTGTTAGTTTATTTTAAAGTACTCCCAGCTGGCCTGTCTCTCTCAAGGGGGGTTACCTCCCCCCCCCAGGCGGTTTCTCCAAAATGTCGTCCTCAACAAATCAGACAGGACATTAAACCGGCACTGAAATCTCCCATCCGACATGTCAGAAGGGGGGCAGGTCGCAGGCCTCCAGGGCCTCAGGTGGAGGGGAGGGGACGGAGGGGCCAAAAATCTGGTCTCCCCCCAGCCCTGCCTGGGACCCTCTCCTCTAGTCCACCCCCATGCGCTAGAGGCAGGGGGGCGCTCTGCACAAGAGAGTGAAACAGCCCTCTCCTGGCCAACCCACAGAATCCACATTCCAGGGTGGCGGAAAGCAAGTGGGAGTCTTCTTGTCTCCTGGCCGCATTTTCACCCAGGACTTCATCCCACCGGGAATTAACTGAGCTCCACTGACGTCCATGGGGGTGCCTCTTGCGTAGATGCATCTCTCATTTGGACAAGCAGTTTCTCTTCAGTGCCACAGTCCTAGGAACCTCGGCTAGTCCGCTCCCCTCCCTTCTCCCTGGGCGTCTCGACACAGGGTCAGGTCTCTTTCCTGGTGTGTGTGTGGGGGGGGTGTCTAGTTGTGACTTGGGGGGACCTCTGGGTGTCCCTTCCAGCTCTGACTTCCTGCTTCTCTCTCTGCAGGAAAACGGGAAGAGAAGGGCTACGAAGCAGCACCAAGTGAGTTTGTGTCTCTTCCTCTCCGGGGTGTTCCTTCAACATAGGAAATGGGGGCGGGGAGGGAGGGGGCGTCCATTGAAGGATCAGCTGACAGACCCACAGTGTCCCCCCCCCCACTGAAGTGGCCTCGGAAAGGGAGGGGGGGAGTCTTAGTCCATCTCCAGCCGGGTGGCTTCTCGGTCACAGACATACCGAGTTCAAGCAGAGCCTCCGGAGAGCCGATCTCAAGGCCAAGTTGCATGAGAAACAGAGGAGTAAAAGCATTTGAGTTTTCTCTGTCCTGCCTCTCCACAAAGTGCTCCAAACAGCTGATAATCAAATCAAACAGCAAAAAAACGCTATCAGTTTTTCAAAGTCCTCAGGAGTAGAAAGCAAAAGCTAGACTCTTCAGCATCGTCAGAGGGTTTTTAAGCTGAGCCAAGAGGCAGGGTGGAACTGTCTTAATAAACACATCAGTTTAATTTCAACGATGGTGAATTGTGTGACCTGGAAGATCCAGTCCCAGAGAGGCAGAACGGAGACTCTGACCAGGACCTTCCAAATGGGCAGTGATTGGGCCGCAGGTGGTCTCCTCTCCATGGCCTGACCAGGGCCGACCCTGCTTAGCTTCCATGATTCTACAAGATCAGGCCAGACTAAGCCATCCAGTTCAGGGCAGTCTGTAATGGTGGTGGGAAGCGTTAAGTTGCAGCTGATTTATGGTAAACAGGGGTGATTTGCCGTTGCCTCAGCTTTCTTGGCGGTCTCCCCTCCAAGTACTAACCAGGCCTGGCCCTGCTTATCTTCTGAGGGCTGATCAGATCGGGCCAGCCTGGGCCATTCAGATCACGGCAGAGGCTACTAGTAAAGGTAAAGGCTTCCCTTGCTCAAAAGCTAGTTGAATCCGCCTCTAGGGGGTGGCACTCATCTCCATTTCCAAGCCAAAGAGCCACCAAGGAAGTCCAGGGTAGCTATGGGGAGGCAGGCAATGACAAGCCAGCTCTGTTGCCTCTTTCTTTGAAAACCCTACGGGGGGGGGGCATTAATCAAATGCATCTTGACAGCACTTTGTACATGTGCAGAGTAGCATCTATCCAGCATGTCATGGGGCTCAGTCTCTTTCCCGGCGGGTTCTGGATTCCTCTGCATGGGCGGCTGAGAGACACCCCCATTCTGAAAAAGTACATCCCCCAAACAAGCAAAATATATTCAATAGAGGGAAAAGGTCCGTTGTGGAAATAAATACAACGATCTCTAGAAAGAAGCTCTGGGCAGGTGCCCCGGCCTTGGACACTCAATGTCAATTTGCTGTGGTGACCTCAGCAGGGTATAATGACACTGAGTCCACCATTTTCTCCAGAGGAACTGATCTCTGCTACCTAAAGAACAGTTGTAATGTTGAGTGATCTCCAGTCCTCACCTGGAGATTGGCAACGATGGTTCCCCAGAAGGGAATGGTTGGTTTGGAGGCTGGAGTCTATGGCTTTGTACCTGTGGCTTTTGTCCCATGAAACCTCACCCTCTCCAGGCTCCATCCCTCACATCTCCAGAAATTTCTCACCCCGAGTTGGAAACCTTATCTCCTTCCCAGCCAATCGTCAACCTACCTTTATTTCCCCCTCACTCTTCAGCTTTCCACCCCCCACACACCTGCATCCTCTCCCATGCTCTGAAGCCCTGACTGCTACGTCACATTGGCTGTCATACGGGGGCCACTTCAGCAGCATATAAGGATACAGAGCCCACCATTTTCTCCAGGTGAACTGATCTCTGCCATCTGGAAAGCAGTTGTAATTCTGAGTGATCTCCAGTCCTCACCTGGAGATTGGACAGATTTTACCTCAGAACAGAAAACTGTTTAGAATGTTTGAGGCAAAAGCCAATCAAGTTGCATATGCAAACGACCTCTGTGTTCCGAGGCAAAGGCCAGTGAGGCTGCGTATGCACATAACCTCTGTGTTCAACCCCCAGACCAATGCTCCTTCTAAACTGTGGAGTCTTGTGAGCAAAGATTCTATTTGGTGAGCGACTGGCATGAAAGTTGTGAGCGAGCGATTTGGCTACTACATAAATTAGTTTGCTCTGGAGCCCTCCTTCCTGAGCAAAGGCTTAAAAAAACTGCGCTCACACTAACTCATCTTAGAGGGAACACTGCCCCGGATGTGACTCTCTGTGTGAATGTGGCCATATTCCAGCTAGAGCCCCCAAATCCACACTCAAAAAATGCCCGGTGTGTGGATACCACTTTCCCTCCGTCTGCCACCGCTCACTCCTTGTCTAGTGAACTGCAGGCTTTGGTTCTGACACCGTTCCCGAAATGGAGACCGTTATCCCCTGCCTCTGGGGGGAATGGAGAAGTAGAAAACCTTCCGGGCTTCCATTTATCTTCACATGATGCTCGATTTGTGTGTTTTGTGTCATGTTAACTTGTGGGGAAGGAGGGTTTTTTTGGGGGGGACTGAATAGGGGTATAAGGGGGGGGGCTGTGGTGGTTCGGAGACCCCTCCGACCCACAAGCCCCCTCAGTGAACCTGACTCCCGCTCTCTCCCTCTCTCTTTCCTCCAAAAGATGGCTACCTGAGGCCTGACAGCTTCTCCTCTGGTGAGTATGTGGGAAAGAAGGAGGGGGCGGCCACTCTGTCAGGAGGCTGGTATTGGCCTCTGAGGGGAATGGATTCCGTTTGTCTCCACGTAATGGATGATTTGCATGTTTTCTGTCACATGAACCGATGGGGAAGGAGGGTATGTGCCGGGGGGGGGGGCGATGGGAGTGCCAAAGGGGCCTCTTTTGGGGGGCCAGTGGAGACCCTCCCTCACAAGCCCCCCCCTCGTGAACCTGACTCCCTGCCCTTCTCTCTCTCTCTCTCCTTCATTCAGGATGCAGCAAATCGAGTTCTTCTCTGATGGTGAGTGTGTGGGATTTGGGACCCCCGTCACAAAGAGGGAGGGGGCACGCTGTCAGGAGGGGCTGTGGCTGTTGGAACCCCCTCCCCGTAAGCCCCCCCCCCAGTGAGCCTGACACCTTCTCCCTCCTATTCAGGCTGTAGCGACCGGGAGTCTGAGAGCACCAAGTAAATATGTAGGAGTGGGGATGAACATCTTGCAGGTGGAGGGTGCCCTTTGTCAACAGGTGCTGGGGGGGGGGGCTGAGCACATGTTTTGCAGGGCTTCCACTTTCCCCTGGGTCCAGATCTCTCAGGCTTTCCAGAACTCAGCCCAGGCAATGCCCCTGCAGGTTTTCTGCCCTCCCTTGAAGGATGCAGCTTGGCTCACTTGCTTGAGTTGTCATATGGAGGCAGCTGTTCTGTTGGGCTCCCAAACAGCCTGGAGGGGGGGGGGGGGAATAAAAGTCCTGTCCCTTTAAAAGAGGCTTAAGGAGACGTTATTTACCAGGAGCTGTTTTGTCTATCTCCGAGCCCTGAAAATCGTCAGGGGTCCCTTTCCACACACGTTGAATCAACGCTCCCTGTAAGCTGTGGAGTCCTGTGAGCAAAAATTCTACTTTGTGAGCTACCAGCATTAAAGTTGTGAGTAGGCAGGTGATTTGGCTACTGCATAAATTAGTTTGCTCTGGACTGGAGCCATCCCTTCCTGAGCTAAGACAAAACATGTGTGAGCCAGAGGGTAAAAAATTGTGAGCTGGCTCACACTAACTCAGCTTAGAGGGAACACTGCTAGCAAGCCCCGCTCTCTCCCTGCAAGACATTTTGCATGTCATCTTACTTCGAGCTTTATATGTTTTGTTTCTACAGAGCACTTGTGTGAAGAGATAACAAGGAAACTCACTGGATTACCTCTGCCATACTTCTCTCCATAGGCCGCCGGTAGCTACTTTCCATTAAAGGCATAAAACAACCAATAGAGTACATATCTCAGTACCTCACCTAGTTTAGGCCTCTGTATTACACTGTCTGACCCTGCCTCTGTCCCAGCAATCTGTCTTGCCCTAGTGAAGTGATGAAAGGTTTGTGGTGAAGTGTTTTACTGATGGGATTGGGAAACTTTTCCTTTTGATTTTGCTGACGCTTTTTGTATTGATCAGAAATGGGGAAACATTTGTGATGATTGATAAAGGGTGTTATCCATGCACAATTTGGGCTGCGTGTTATTGACATTTGTTTAAAGCTCACCTCTTTTTTTGGGGTTAAAAGCTTTTATTTTTCTCGGAAGTAATAACATGTTCAGAATATTTTCCATTTAATCAAAAACCCTTGAAACTCCCCACCCCTTCTCCCTCCAGTGGCTTCCCGCAATGCATCCCCCTTTTTTCTCTTTTACATCAGTATATCATAAGACAACACATTTGACTTAATATTGTTCTAAAAGTCAATCCATTCTTCAAAAAAATCTTGGTCTTCTTTGTTATTCAGTTTTTTCGTGATTTTGTCCATTTCTGCCATGAACAGAACTTTGCGTATCCATTCGTCTATTTCCGGTATTCTTTCTTGTTTCCAACATTGTGCATACACCATTCTTGCAGTTGTTATTAGGTACCAAAACATAGTCTTTTTTGTTACATTTAGTTCTTCCATTTTGAGTCCTAAGAGTAGAATCTCGGGAGCTTTCTTAAAAGAACATTTCAGTATCTTTTGCATTTTGCTGTGTATTTTTGTCCAAAAATCCACAGCTTTTTGACATGTCCACCACATATGGTAAAATGAGCCTTCATGTTTTTTACATTTCCAACATTTACTAGACATATTTTGGTTCATACTGGCTATTTTCTTAGGCGTCATATACCACCTGTACATCATTTTATAACAATTCTCTTTAACATTTATACAGGTCGATAACTTAATAGAATTTTTCCATAGATATTCCCACGAGTCTATTGTCACTTCTTTATTCATATTAACTGCCCATTTTATCATTTGTTCTTTTACCGTCTCTTCTTCTGTATACCATTTTAACAAAACTTTATACATGTTAGAAATTTGGGCTGTGTGTTATTGACATTTATTTAAAGCTCACCTCTTAACGGGGCTGATGTGAGCATAAGAGAAGCCACATTGGATCAGGCTATTGGCCCATCCAGTTGAACAGTCTGTGTCACACAGTGGCCAAGATCCAGACACCAGACATACTCAAGAATTGATAGGTGCTGGACATCTAAGACTTTACTCACAAATCCGAGGTCCATTGAAATCCAGCCAGAAACAATTGCTGACCATAATCCATTCCTGGCTTCGTGGCACAGAGAAATGCCTATAAGAAGAAGATGGAGAATGAACGACAATCTCTTGCTGCAGAAAGACATTGCAAAAAGTTGTGAACAGGACACAGAAGAATTTTTTTAAACTAAATATCACAGATGATCTCCCTATGGCAATTATATGGGAAAGCAAGTAAAGCGTATGTGAGAGGGAAATTAATTGTTTTTGCATCGAAGAAAAAGAGGCAACGATTGGAACAAATCAAGAAAATAGCTGACAGCATTCAGATCTGAGAAGGCCAGCATAAAAAATCCTTGAGAAATTGATTAAGAGGAGAGTCTGCGCGGAAGTTCAGGAGGAAGCAGGGATGAGGTTCAGAGGAGTCATGTCAATGGCTCCATAGCAGCGACCAACCTTTAAAAAAAAATCTTTATTTCGTGTGGATGTAAGTAGCACATTGCCCTCAAGAGGGTTGTTTTCTTTTTTCTTTTCACGTATCTTCATACAAAGCTATACTTTGAAGTAAGACTGTGACGACCCCTTATTTGGGGAGGTCTGGTTTCCCTTTAAAAATGTTCTTTATGTTATTCTCTACTGGGTAATCCGGCTGCCACCAGGAAATTTATAAGGCTTTCCAAACCTTTATGCTTTACTATTTCAATCACAGGGTAGGTGGATCGAGGGTTTAAGCTTTTGAGGAACTATGTGGTCTGAGGAAGGATTCTTTACTGAGCTGGTGTACTTGAATGAAATAGGATTTATTTAAAGAAAGCATAAATACGAGGGTGAAACACTGTAAACAATACTGGGAATGTTTTGAACAATTGCTTGGTGTCTCTCACAAGCTTCTCCTTTACTGACAGGGAGGTTTCAAGCAACTTTGTATCATAAACTCAAGGTCACGAAAGTTAACTTTCTCTCCTTCAGACTTCAGAATGAAGTTAACTTATCAACTGTCTTATTCAACTCTAAGACATAGAACTTAACAACCCACACAGGGAAGCTTCTTCTCTTTCATACATAGCTTAACTCCACTTCCAACTGTCTGTTTCAACTGTCCAAACTCTAACAGTCACTCCTGATAGACATTCAAGTCATCCCCACAGCATCTATTCCAAAACCCCTCCCCCTCTCTTTTACTCACCAATCATATCACTTGCTTGAGTCCAGCACTCTAGATTATCATCACAGCCATGCAAACCAAACTTTTAAAGACACACACACACATAAACAAGGAATCGTTACAAAGACCATCCCCCTTCTTTAATTGCCCCATAAAGTGTTGGGAGAGCGGCTATGGACAGATTGTGGCTATGAATGAATGAGAATTTTCAGAGAGGCGGGGGCAAGAAGAAAGGGAGTTGTAGGACGAGAACAAGACAAGTGAAAAAGACTTAATCGTTGAAAAACAGATTACCACGGAGGTGAAACTCTAGGAAAAATAGGTGAAGGTGTGGTAGCCTGTTTGGGTGAGAGACTTAAAATGGCGGTGGCAGGAGAAGAGGAAGAATTTGACCTGGATATGCAAGTAGGAGAGCTTGCTTAAGAGCAATTTAAAAGTTTTTTGGCAGCTACAATCAAAGAAGCAGTGACAACAGCATGCAAAAATCTGTTTAAAGAGTCTCGGGACTTACAAATGGACTTGGCAAATGTAGACGAGGAGGACTTGGAACAAGACTCTCTAACATCGGTTGAGCATCAAGACTTTGGCCAGGAGAGGGAGCTACCAAATAAGCAATCTCCAATCACACAAAATTTGGGCCAGGAGATGGAGACCCATAGAGACTATCATGTAATAATAGAAGCAAAAAAAGGATCTACCTTAACTGTCCCTCCCCCCCAGTCCTGTGTGGGCTCACGTGTGGGTTTGCATTGTCTTTTGTGGATTTAAATTGTATGCCACTTTGGAGGAGTTTTTTTTTTTTTTTAAGCAGACTAAAGCACCTGTGTACGTACTGACTGCTACAAGCACGTGGGGCTGCCCTTGAAGACGGAGTGGAAGCTTCACTTGGCACAGACTGAAGGTCAGATGGGGGCAGGCGGGGCTCAGTAATACAAACACCCCCACCACCCAGCTTTTCCCCTTCTGCTGTGTTTGTGAGCCCTGCTGAAGGTGCTGGTTTTGGCCTTCCGGGCTCCCCAGTACCTGAGCAACTTTCTTTGCTCTTTTCAGCCTTCCCACATGTTGGGATCAACAGGCAGGCCTTTTTGTGTGTGTGTGGGGGGGGGACCTGCTCAACCTGAGATTTGGTCGGGAGGCACTTTGAGATGGCAGGCTTGGCTGCTACCCCCAGCCTGAGCCGAGTGTGTCTGTCTACTCTAGAAGATCTCCAAGGTTCCTTCCAACTCTAACCCTCTAGGAGTGTACAACGTTCCAGAGAACGTTGAAGACATTTACTCATATTGCTAATATCATTGCTTCAGCGGAGGTTTCATGTCGTTTTACAGAATTTTAATCACTTGTTTATTGCAGAGGATGTTTCATGTCATTTTAAAAATTTTAATCACTTGTTTATTGCATTTTGTGGTGCATTCTTTTTTTAAAGTTAGCCGCTTTTTGCTTCTGTGAGGCAGCAGGGCAGCATATGAATGAATAAAATGAATATTTTGCAATGTGTTTCTTTGTCATTTGTTCTCCCCCCCCCAATGCCTGGTAAATCAGCTGTTTTGCTCTCTTGCCAACCCACCCCTCAGCAACCATTTGTACCTGTATTATTTGCGACACGTTCACCGTCCCCAGAATTGGCTTTGCCCCGGAAGTGATTTTGCTGCCGTTCCTCCATGTGCCGTGGGGCTCTTCTCTCTCCCAGCTCACGTATGTTCTGCGTTGGGCTCTGAACAAGACGGATGTCATTTCTATCTGGGTAGGAGGCCTGTCTCACGGAGTCTCACCTGCCCGGTTTTTTGCACGTTAGGAAATGCCTTGTTTCAAATCGTGCTCTCAAATAGTCAACCCCCACACCAGGGGTCATTTAGTAGAAAAAGAGGTGCAGGAACTCATTAGCACACCTTATTTGCATATGCCGCACCCCCTGACATCACTGGAAGTGTATCAGAAGGCAACGCCCACTTCTCAGGCTCCACTGGACTGTTTTGGATTGCTAGCTGTTGGGGGGGGGGCGTGCAGATCTGTCCTCGATGAGGAGGGAGGGCTTGTACCTGAATAAAACTTGGTCTTAAAGGTGCCACTGGACTGTTTTGAGCCGGGGGCTCTGCAGCTTACCTGGCTGCTTCTTGCTCTGACTGAGGGCTGCTGGGAGCAGGGGGCGGGGCTTGTTGCATGTGCCCGCCCCCTGGGCTCTTTACTGCTGGAGCTCCGCTCCTGTGCGCTCCTGCAGGAAATGGCCCCTGCCCCCCCACACACACACAAACACCAAACCATGTGCCTCGTGGTCTTTTAGGGAAATAGAGGCTGTGCGGTGAAGAGGAGATAGTCAGGGGTGACTTCGCAGTCAGTACAGAGTTGCCCCGAGGTATCTGATTGTGGTTTTGAGCTGCACTTTTCCCTCCCACCGTGGCGAATGTGGATTAAAAGAATGCTGAGAATAGGTGGCTCTAGTCCTATCTGGGGTGGGCAATCTCCGGAGGTTATGCCGGAGAACAGTTACCTCTAGCAACAACCCCACCTGACTGCCAGTGGAACAAATAACCCCCTGGATTCTCCCAGGCATGAAAGACTCCCAGCATAAATCCAGAGACCGAATATCAGATCGAGGGCATGAGTAGGAAGCAGCAATGTGGAAAACAGAGCCACTGTTCCTGGAGGAATCCTGGCCTATAATCCGGGCCTTGTCCTGGGAGAGGGGGACAAGGAGCTCAACAAAATCCGAATCCCCTCTGGACTATGGGGGTTCCCGTTTCACTCCAGATACCCGGAAGTGGCAAGTCCTGAATAGCATAAATGGGATCTCCCGTCTCTCTGTATATCATATCATTTTTACTGTATTGTTCTCTAATTCTGGTCACCCCATTTTGTTTTTCATGGCTGCCATCTACCTTGAGTTTAAGCAAGCAAGAAAGACCATAAACAAAACATCTGTAAACTATAAATACACGTTGATGAGGTCAGAACTGGCAGAGACTGGCCAAGAGAGAGATCTTGGAGTCGTAGTAGATAGGAGATAACTCACTGAAAATGTCGAGAGAGTGTGTGACTGCAATATAAAAGGCCAACGCTATGCTGGGGATTATTAGGAAGGGAACTGAAAACAAATCAGCCAGTATCATAACGCCCCTGTATAAATTAATGGTGCAACCTAATTTGGAGCACTGTGTGCAGTTCTGGTCACCACACCTCAGAAAGGATATTATAGCATTGGAAAAAAGTGCAGGAAAGGGCAACTCGAATGATAAAAGGGTTGGAACACTTTCCCTATGAGGAAAGGTTAAAGCACTTGGGGCTCTTTTGCTTAGAGAAACGACGGCTGAGGGGTGACATGATCGAGATTTACAAGATTATGCATGGGATAGAGCAG